GCATCTATTGGGAGATATTTCATAATAATAAACTATGTCAGTTCCTCATAATATTTGGAATTAAATGGTCTAAAATACACTAAGAAAACAGTCCAGAAAGCATTCAAAATAAAGAAAAGGGAATTCATCTTGACTAGTCACTTGCTGCTTGCTCATCCCAATGCTAGGGTTTTCCAAGGAATTGCTTTTATAAAAACAAACAAACAACAAAAACCCCTGCTGGTAAGCATTTTAATCCCCCATTTCCTGAAAAGGAAATTCAGCTCCAGAATTTCAAAGGGCTTGCCTACAGACCAAGAATTTGAACAAAGCGTTGCTGGACTTTAAAATCCATGTTCTTCCTTCTATTCCCACCTGCCTCCAAGGCAGTTGATTCTTACATTGGCTATACACTGTACTCATTTGGAAAGCTTAAATAAAAAAAAAAAAAAAAAGAATACCCAACACAATACTGAAAAAGAACAAGATTGGAAGACTCATACTACCAAATTTCAAGACTCGAGTCATCAAGACTTCAGTAATCAAGACTGTGTTCATTGGTGAGACAGAAGACACACAGATCAGTGGAACAGAATAGAGAACCCAGAAAAGACCCAGACAAATACAGTCAACTGATCTTTGACAAAAGAGCAAAGGCAATGCAATGGAGAAAGCTTTTCAACAAGTGGTGCCGGAACAATCAGAGTCCTTACATAAAATAAAATTTTAAAAATGAACCTAGTCCTGGACCGTACACTTCTACAAAAATGAACTCAAAATGGATCATAGACCTGAATGTAATATACAAAACACTTAAACTGTTAGACTAAGACATAGGAGAAAAGCTATGTGACCTTGAGTTTGAGGATGAGTTTGTAAGTGTATAATACAAATCATGATTTATTAAAGAAAAATTGAGAATTCAGACATTGTTAAAATTAAAAACTTCTGTTGTCTAAACCCTGGAAAGAGAACCAAGGGACAAGCCACAGACTGGGAGAAAATATTTTCAAAACACATATCCAATAAAGGTCTTATATTGAAAATATAAAAACAACTCCTAAAACTTAATAAGAAAACAATCAGATTTTTGAATGAGCAAAAGATCTGAACAGACGCTTCACCAAAATGCTTCACCAAAGAAGATATACAAATGGAAAGTTGAGGCATGTAAAGAGATACTCAACAGCATTTGTTATTAGGGAATTACAAGTTAAAACAGTAATTGATGAAGTTTTTGAATATAGGTGAGGTTCAGTGGGGTGGAGGCTGGAGCCAGCGACCAAGAAAGAATTCTTGAGACATCTTTGGTGCAAAATGGTGGTTTATTAAAGCACAGGGACAGGACCTGTGGGCAGAAAGAGCTGCTGTCCCAGGGTTGTGAGGGGTGGTAAGTTCTGTGTGATGAGGTTGGGGAGGTAAGGTAAGGGAGGTTTCAATAGAACTTTCATATGCTTAAGAGGACCTTTAAGATATGGGATACCAATGACCTTGCCATTGTCAAGGTCTTTTTTTCCCTTCTTAGCAAGGCATTAACATTAAGATAGGTGGGAGATTCCTAAAGAATGTCACATATGTCCCACCCAGGAGTGGGGGTGGGGGAAGGTTGCAGGGTGTCAGTGTTTGTCCTCAGCCAGCCTTCTGTTCCCTCATCAGTAATGAAATAACACTACACATCTATTATAGTGGCTAAAATTTAAAAACTGGCATCAGTTAGCTAAAGCTATGGAGCAACAAAATAGTCTCATTCATTGCTGGTAGGAATGCCAAATACTAGAGACACTTTGAAAGATACTTTGGTACTTTCTTACAAAGATAGGTGCAGTCTTACTATATCATTCAGTGATTGAACTACTACTACATATTTACTGTTTTGAAAACTTATATTCATACAAAAAAAAAAACCTACATAGGAATGTTTATAGCAACGATATTTATGATTTCCCAAACTAGAAGCAACCAAGAGGTCCTTCAATAGGTGTATAGATAAGTAAGCTCTGGTACACATCTATATAATGGGAGATATTAAGTTGTTAAGTGAAAGAACCCAGTATGAAAAGGCTATATATTTTATGACTCAGATTACATGACATTCATGAAAAGGCAAAACTATAGAAATGGTAGAAAGATCAGTGGTTTCCAGGGGCTCAGGGGAAGGGTTGATTAAGTGAAGCACGGAAAATTATTTAAGACAGTAGAACTATTCTGTATGATAGCTATAATGGTAGATATATTATGCATTTGTCAAAACCTATAGATCTTTACAGGACAAAGAGCAAACTTGATGCAAATTTTTTTTAAACATTTTATTTTATTCGACAGATCACAAGTAGGCAGAGAGGCAGGCAGAGAGAGTGTGGGAAGCAGGCTCCCTGCCATGCAGAGAGCCCCATGCAGGGCTTGATCCCAGGACCCTGAGATCATGACCTGAGCTGTAGGCAGAGGCTCAACCCACTGAGCCACCCAGGTGCCCCAAACTTGACACAGATTTTAAAAAGTTATTTAGTAGGTTGGGATCCCAGGATGAAATGCAGAATTGTGACAAAACAATGTAACTGTATTGCAAATGTATTGAACAACCTTACTGAAGGTATGGAGGAGAAAATGTACTGACCTAAGTAACCTTGGAAATGAGTGGAGTCTGTAAGACTAGAGGCAGAAGGAACTGTACATAAGCGTGCTGTAGTTGATAAACTTGTTTCCCGTGAGGGTACAGGTTAATAATTCTGATACCACTATGCGTGCATACTGTAAGTCAACAGTTAAGTAAATGTGTAGACAATGGTGGGAGCCAAGTTTCTCACTGTTGGCGTGGGATGTTATAGAAAAGAAGAGAGCCTGGAAACATCCAAGTGATAATTGGATTAAAGTTGGAGATGTCAATATGGACTCATATTAGCATAATATAGATACAAATAGTTACATACAGAAGTACTTACAGGTGTGTGTATATGCATAGGTTAGTATTCACACACATAATTTCCTTGTTCTGTTGACAGAAAGAACCTAGAAGCAATGTCACCCCTGTAGCAATGAGCACACCTAGCACCCAGATCTTGGTTTCTAATATCCTTCTCCAACCAAAGGAACCAGAACTTGGATAAATGACTGATCCTAGGACTAGGGCAGGAAATACCTAAGATGAGCGTGGAGCATCTTATGAGGCCCAGAAGTAAGAAGGTGCTCAGAAAAACACCACCACTACCAAAAAGAAACACAGGGCCAACTAAAAGAACTCCTAATAGCCAGAACTGGAATGCTGAAATAGCACGAATAAATTAATAGTAGATTGAAACTCAAAGTAGAAAATAAATGTATCTATATGATATAAATAAATGGAGGAAAATAGACACATTTGCCGTATCGAAGAATTCTAAAGATTTCATGTAGGTTCTAAGCCCCAAGGAAATAGAATATAACCCTGCATTCCTTAAGTGTGGGTTGCAGAAGGTGACTTCCTTTGGAAGAGTCCAGTAAGATCAAAAGAATAAAAGACTAACATTGTCCTGGAGAAACCTGACAAACACTGTCTCAGCCAAATGATTAGGGTCCACTTCACTACTGACAAGTCATGTTAACATACGTGTCCTTGATCTGATGTGATAAGAATGGCTTCCTCTTATGGTCTTCTTCCCAAAAGGATGTAAACCCAGTCTGATTATGAGAAAAACATCAGACCAATCCCAACTGAGGGGCACACTACAAAATATGTGGCCAGTACTCCCCAAAGCCATTAAGGTAATCAAAACCAAGGAAAGTCTGTGAAATGCTTGCAGCCCAGAAGAGCCTCAGAAGACAGGAATCCTGGATACAGAAAGCAAATTAGGGGAAAACTGAGGAAATATGAATAAAGTGTGGATTTTCATTAATAATATGTAGTAATATTAGCTCCTTAGGGATGCCTGGTCTGCTTAGTCGGTTACGCATCCGACTCTTGACTTTGGCTCAGGTTATGATTTCTGGGTCGTGGGATCGAGCCCTGGGCCCCGTTGTGTGCTCAGCGGGAATCTGCTGGAAATTCTCTCTTCCTCTGCCTCTCATCCCACTCATGTGCATGATCTCTCTCTCTCTCTCTCTCTCCTTCTCTCTTTCTCAAATAAATAAATCTTTAAAAAATATGAGCACATTGATTGTAACAAATGTACCATACTCCTATAAAATGTTCATAATAGGGGGAAAGGGGTGTGGGGTATATGGGAAATGTCTGTAGTCTCTCTGCAGTTTTTTCCATAAACCTCAAGCGCTTCTAAAATCAAACATTTATTTAAAAGAATTTGTAATGCCTGGTGCTACCCTCAGATTCTGATTTCCTCTGGGTTGTGGCCCAACCCCGAAGACCTTAGAGAGCCGCCTGGGTGATTCCCATGTGCTTCCTGCAAAGGACCCTAAAGGAAGGGCAGATGTTCCCTTCTCTTTTGTCTAATTACAATCAATGCTCCGACCTTGTCCTTGGTTAAACAGCAGCGTGACTTAAAGATTTTGGTGGTTTGACTGCAGGAGTTCTTTAAACGTACGGCCAGAGCTACGGAATTTGGAAAGTGATATTTTTCATTAAATAAAAATTCTTCTCCAGGAGGCTTCAAGGACCGTAAGCAGCTGAGGAAAGAGTGAAGGGCAGACGGTACCAGGCGCGTCATCCGTCTAAATCCGTGCTCAGCGGGAGAGCCTTTCCTTTCCTGCTGCTCCGCTGGGCCTCGTGTACATGGAAGTAAATCATCCCTGAGCTTTTAGGTGCAGCGGGTTTGACTGTAAGTGGGTGGTAGGCGCATTCTCCAGGGTCTGCTTGAGACCCCTGATGTAAAAGCACCACGAGGTGGGGAGGGCCGGTTAAGGCTCAGGAGCGGTGACCTGCAGCCAGCCTCGTGTTTTCCTCTTGCAGGAAATCCAGCAGCCAAGTTCCTGGGGGGTGGGGTCCCATCTGATGCTGGAGGTAACCGGCTCCCCCAGTCAGGGACTTGATGCTCTTGACCTTGACGCTCTTGACCTCGGCGCTCTTGCCCCCAGCACCCAGACTGGCCTCTATGAAGAGACAGAGCCCAAGAGGTGACCTGTCCTCACACACAATCGTGGTGCCTATGGGACATAGCGAGGCTCTATTTTCTGGACTTGCTGTGGTTGCTGAAAACCTGAAGAAGCCAGGAAAGTGCTTCCTGTGCCTGAAGGTATGAGGAAGAGTTATTCCCCCCATTGTTTTCTTTCTCAGAAGACAGAAATAGTCATTAGTAGAAATTTCTGCTTTTTTAAAAACCTGTAAATATTTTTAATTTTTATAGTTGATTTTATTATTTATTTTATTTTATACATGACCATATTAGTGTATATTAATTATGTATCAGATAATATAGAATATCATATATTAATATATAATTAATATTTAATCTTCTAGAATACACTGATGATATAATTAATAATATATAATTAATTATGTAAATAAGTATATATAATTATTTTAATAAATAATTTTAAACCTGTAAAATATTAAGCAACCAGAAAATATTTATTGTTCTTACACATAGTTCCTATACCATGCTAGGCACTGAGGGGGACATTTGTAAAGCTGAAAATTAATAGTGGCCTTTTATTCTTTCATCTAAGCAATGCTTGAGTGTGTATCGAGTAACAGACATCTGGGCACTAGAGATTAAGAAAACTAAGATTGGTTTCCTTTCTTAAGTAGCGTGTAGTTCAAGAACTTATGGTCTAGGATGGGGGTTCCCAGTTGGAGGTGATTTGCTCCCCAGGGGACAGGGGACAGTGTCTGGAAGACAGCTGGTTGGCACTGCTGGGATGGTTGGGAGGTGCTCCTGACATTGAAGGAGTAGAGACCAGGGATCCTAGGGAACATCTTCCAAAGCACAGGACAGCCTCCAACAACACAGAATTATAGGCCCCAGAATGTCCCTAGTGCCAAGGTTGACAGTCCGTGCAAACCCAGTGGGCCCTTCCTTAAACCAGGAGCCCACTCTCCAGGTGTCAGTTAACAAAGCAAACCGTAAAGCCACCTCCTGCCCTCTCTTTGCCAGGAGGGGCTGGAACAGGGCGGGACCCCAGCTGAAGAGAGAGGAAAGGTTACCACCCTGCCATCCATGCAGGGTACAGTGGCACTGATTGGAGGACAGTCAGCATTCTTCTTTTGGTTCCCAGAATGATAACTAGGATATCCCAGGACAGAGGGCATGTCCAGTTGAATCAGGCTGCTCCACAGACGACCTGAGCCTTCTCCTTTTTATTAAGAGCAGCCGAGTCTCTAAGTCAGCGGCTGATACACAGGCGTCTTAGCAAATACAGCTGATCTTTGAACAGCAGGGGTCGGAACTGCACGGGTTCACTTACATGTGGGTGTTTTTCGATAAATACAGTTAAGTACTGTGAATGTATTTTCTCTTCCTTTGGATTTTCTTAAGAGCATGCTCTTTTCTCTAGCTTTATTGTAAGAATGCAGTATATAAGATGTATGGCATACAAAATGTGTGTTAATTGACTTTCTGTGATCACTAAGGCTCTGTTTACTAGTAAAGTTTTGGGAAACTCAGAAGTCGTTCAAGGATTTTTGACAGTGTGGAAGCTTAGCCCTCCTAACTTCTGAGTTGGTCAAAGGTCGACTGTAATATTATTGAAAGTCAATGACACTTTTAAAATTTAAACATAGCAGGGCGCCTGGGTGGTTCAGTGGGTTAAAGCCTCTGCCTTCGGCTCAGGTTGTGATCTCAGGGTCCTGGGATCAAGCCCCACATCAGGCTCTCTGCTCAGCAGGGAGCCTGCTTCCTCCTCTCTCTCTTGCCTGCCTTTCTGCCTACTAGTAATCTCTGTCAAATAAATAAACAAAATCTTAAAAAAAAAAAAAAGACTTCTAAAAAAAAAATTTAAACCTAGCATTTGCTCCTCGGTTGAAACTACTATAAAACTTTTGGTCTTGTCATATGTATTACTTTCAAGTTTAAATTTTACAAGTGGCCTTGCAACCATGCTGCTCGATCTAGCCCTGGCCACATGTGGCTTTTTAAACTTAAATTAGTTGAATTGAAAGAAAATTTAAAATTTATTCCACCACCACACCGGTCACATGCAAAGTGCTCACTAGCCGCACGTGCCTACTGACTGCTGAACTGAACAGCGTGAACATTTCTATCATCACAGAAAGTTCTATTGGGCAACACCACCTTATAAGACTTTTCTAAGGATGCTTGCCAGCATGAGCAGTTATTGCTAGAACAGGCTTGTTTTCTAGCCGCTGAGACCCCACGGCAAGCACTTTGCATCATCTCGTTATCCTTGTCTGTTGGAAAGACCTGTTTTGCTGGGAGGGACGGTCTTTTGTCAGCCATGCAGTTCTGTGAAGGGTTTATGTCATGGATGTTGGGTAATATATCAGATGACTGAAACTGATTTTCCAGAAGGTATAACAGTGTAAAATTCAAGTAGATAACCTCTATAAGGCATTTCTGATCTAAGTCAAGTGTGCATTGTTAAATATTAATTCCATTAAGGTATGTCAGTAGAGAATTAAGATATGTGACCCAAATAGATTTCTTTCCAGTAATTGAGTATGATAGAGAACTTGGTGCTCCGTGGATCTTAACTGGGGATAAGTCAGGAAGAAGGGAGGAGGAGGAACAGAAAGACTGGGGGGCTCCTGCACAATGCATGGGTTGTCCCCACGGAGGGTTTGTCAGCACGGTGGGGCAGGCGGGTGGGTACGGAAGGTCTTGCCCATGTCTATTTTGAAAATATTTCCCCCGTAAGTCCGCTGTACCCAGTCCAGGGGAGTATTGTTTAGAGATATTGAAAGAAAATGATTAATGTGCCTCTTTTCCACTGTATGATGGGGGCGGGTAACCTTAAAAAGACACCTGGGCTCCACCTCTAGGTAGAATTCCGTGCTCTTTGGGTGGGCCCAGATTTCACTGTCCCTCTTTCAGAAGACCCACTGGTTGTTTCCAGCAACCCCTCCCCCTAGGTCGCTTAGGATCAGCTGGTTTAGAACCACTGCCTCAGGCACTTCCTTCCAGTATCTGTGTCTGTCTCTGGCAAGCCTGCTCAGGCTGTCTATCACAATCCCTTCTTGGATGTATTTTCTTATCAGTGCCTGAAGTGATGATGCGGTGTGCTGCTGATCGAAGAGGTGTCACATGTGCCCGGGACACGGTGGCCAGAGAGGACACTCAGGTAAGGAAACTGAGGAGCCCAATTTTAGTTTGCGCTCAGGTTACAGGGTGCACTTTGAGAGGAAGGTGGGCCATGGGTGTCTGAGCAGGGCTAGAAATCCTCTCTAAGAGGCCCTCGTCAAGCCCTTGGGCAACTGTTTCGGTTGAGATTTCAGTTTGGCCCTGGAGTTTGGGTCGTGTTTGTTAAGATCAGAAGGCTGTTCCTAACTGGAGAGACACCTAGCCATCTATCAGATGGAGAGCCCGCTCTGCTGATGGATAGAACGCTTCAACACCCTTATCCCAACCCTCGTTTAAACTGGAATTTCACACCATGTTGTCAGGGCATATTGGGCCTGAATGGACCTGTCTTTCACTTTTGTTTTTTCTGTTAATGCATTTAACATAGCTCTAGTCCATTCCACATTCTCTTTATCCTTGGTTTCAGATTTTCCTCTGGCAGAAATTCAGTTTTCCCTACGCTATGTAAAATGCTGATCACTTGGGATTTTAAAAGCATAAGGTGGGACTCATATCATTGGGAAACTATCCAGAATATAAAGTCCTTTCGGTGGCATGTTGCACAACATATGAAATAAGCAAAAAATGTTCTAGCATCCCCAGCAAATGTCCAACCCTAGCTTCCCGTGCCTCTGCAGGGCAGCAGAATATGTTGGTTGTGAAGGTAAAAATAAGGTATGAAAACAAGGAGACTGAAACAGATTATAAATCAGTGGGTTTAGTTCCATCTCTGATAAGACTTTGTGAATGTTTCTCCATGGGGTCTCCCAGGACTTGGGATGTCAGGGGTGTGAAATGCCCTAAGATTCTGGAGACCTGCCCGGGTTTGTCTTTCCTAGAGAACCCAAAAAAGGAGAAGGAGAATCTTAAAGCCATGTTTAGTTTTGGCTTAAAAAATTCAGTAATCCCAAGGAAGTGAGGAAGGAAGATCCCAAGGGAGCTTCCCAAGGGATCTTCCCAAGATCCCAAGATCCCCAAGATTCCCAAGATCCCAAGGGATCTTCCCAAGGGAGTGAGGGAAGGTAAGGGGTCAGAGGGAGGGGAGGGGAGGGAAGACTGACTCTAGAACTGCTTGCTGGGACTGCGTCATTCATTAGCAAATATAACTATCTGTCATGCGCCAGACACTGTGGTAAGATGTGGCTATGTGACACGATAAAACATATATTTGGTCTTTGTCCCCAGTCCTGGCTGGCACAGAGCTCCTAAAATCCTTGCGATTTTAAGAGTATTAAGAATATCTTTTGTACACTAATGAGGTGACTGAACACAGGTCCTTAGATCGCTTCAGGACAGGGTTGTTGACAAGGAACCAATCATGGGAGAGGACTAGACCAATCAGCCTGGCCTTCAACAGCCAGGGAGGAGAGAGGAGCCAGAGATGTAATTCCATCATCAGCGGCCAGTGATTTAGTAAATGGTTTAGGAATGAAGCTTCCAGAATGCTCTGAAACAATGAGGCTAGTGGAGCTTTCAGGTTGGTCAAGACGTTGATGTGCTGAGAGGGTGACACACTCAGTGGGTTAGAAGTTGTGGATATCACCCCCGATCCATCCCTCTGTACATTTCCCTGGGAACCTCTTCCATTTGGCTGTTGCTGAGTTGTAGCCTTCTGTTGAAACTATAATAGAGACTAGAGTGCTTTCATGAGTTGTTCTAGCGAGTTACTGAACCTGAGTGGGAGTCACAGGGACCTCCAAGTCTGTGGTCAGTTGGACAGATGGTTAGGTTTCCTGGGGACCACATTTTGTGGCTGATGTCTAAAGTGGGGGCCTCTTGTGGGACTGAGCCCTTAATTTGTGGGGTCTGTGCTAACATTTGAGTAGTGTCAGCACTGGATTGAATTATTAGATACCGGTTAGTGTCAGAGTATTAGAAAAGTGATCGGTATTGGAAGGACGTAGCTGGGGATAAGATGGTGGACAAGAGCGGACATGTTTCTGTTCTGTAAAACTTACAAATACCTTAATGCATCTGTTGGGTTATTTCACGCTATGCTAAATTTCACCTACCTCCAGATCCTCTCACCCCAGTCTTTAGAGACTGACCCTTATGGACCACATCCATGGGCACCCTGCCCTTCGTCTCTGGTTGGACTTGACCAAATGGGGAGCCCTGGTGGGAAACTGAAGGGAGGGAGAGAACGAGGTCACTCAGGATACTTAACTCTCCTAACTTCGTCCTTGGGAAGATGCCTTGGCTCTGTCCTGAGACAGAAGCCCACTACTCCTTTCAGGACAGCCTTCTCTATATGGCTTCCTCCTCCTTCCAGATTCTGTTAACCACTGCTCCTCTGTCTCCTTGTGCCAAGGGGGTGGGAACAGTGCTTTAGCTCCTAATCCTAGATTATCGCCCCCACAATTCCTTTTTTTTTTTTTTAATACCCTGGGTATACCTTTGTAAAATTAAAAAAAAATTATTTACACAGAATAAATAAACCTTATTTGAATGATTCTGATAGGGACGAGCCATCTCGTTGGGACCCTAACTAATATAAGCACTGTCCATTTAAATGCCAGACTTGTGGCCAAATATGTTGATTTTTGTTTTAACATCGTGGATGCTAAACCAGCCATTTAGCTGCTGCTTAAGAAGGCCACCCTCATTAGCAGTGATACAATCACTTCACAGAATGCTTATCTTGGTACATCCTTTGGCCTGAGAGCATACCTTCGGTGAGGGAAAGAGAAGGGGAACTAGGCCATCAGTTCTGTTTAATAGCATTTGCAATTGCAATTTCAGTTGCCAGAATGCTCTTCTTACCCATTATGGTTCTGGCATTAGTGCTGTATTCCAGGCTTGGGACATACAGCAATAGCCCAGGATTTATACCAGCACGATACATTCTGATGAGAGGCTGATAAATGTTGTAGAAAGCAATTGTTATTAGCTGTTTTATTGGTGAAATAAAACAGGGTAGTAGCACTCAGAAGCTCAGTAATTGTGCCTAGGACATGTTTCCTTCCATGCCAAGCATTACGTTTATTATGGGTCTTTTTGTGTGAATCTCCCCCTCCCCCAACACCTCCTCTAGAATTTCTCAAAAGCTGGTTTTCCCAAATGATGAGTGTCTTGTAAAAAGATTCCCATTTATAAGTTTGCCTTTCATTGGAGTTACTTTGAGCCTCCTTTCGTCCTTATTTTGCTTTCCAAAGCTATTACTGAAATAAAAAGTTGGGATGGCCAGACCGGATCATGAGAGATGGCTTCAGCCTGTGTGTAATTGTCCATCGATCTGTAGATGAGAGGGAAAGCTTTTCTCCCAAGAACGGTATATGATTACATTTCAGGAGAGCTGGTGGGAGGAACTCTCATCCTTGTAAAAAGCACTTTCACAGGATTTGCCCCCTCATGCTCTAGCTGAGGAAACTGAGACCCAGAGATACCAGGCGGGAGACCTACCCGAGAACACGACTCCTATTAGTGTACTGGGGCTGCTGGGACAGAGGGCCCCAAACTGAGTGGCATAAATGACAGACATGTATTGTCTGTGAATTCTGGAGGCTAGAGTCCAAAATCCAGGTGTTGGCAGGATCGGTTTCTTCTGAGGGCGGGGAGGGACTGAATCTGTTCCCAGGGTCCTCCTGGACTTGTCCATGGCTGTCTTCTCCCCATGTTCATTCGCGTCATCTTCCCACTAGGTGTATCTGTGTCTAAATGTCCCCTTCTTACAAGTACACCGCCATATTGGATTAAGGCCCATCCTAAGGACCTCATTTTAACTTGATTACCTCCCTAAAAACCCTATTTCCAAAATGAAGTCACATTCTAAGGTACCAGTGTTAGGACTCCAATGTGCGAATTTGGGGGGGATTATAAGACAAGCCCAAATACTGCCTAGAACCTTGGTCTTCCAATGCCCTTGCTTGTTTTTTCCCTTCCTGCCCCATGTGTCTTTTAATATCCGTACTCTCCTTGCTGCAGAGGAGATGTGTTCTTTTTCGTGGACATGGGGTACAGAGGTGGGTCAGAACCTCCAATTTCTCAGACATTTCAAATCAATTTAGAAGAATATCCAGTCTAGGTAAGTTCAGAGGAGTAAGGATTCTTATTAACATAGCCTGAAAATAAAATCAGCTTGGAGGTAAGCAACACATTTTTTATTATTATGTGGCCGATAATGTTGAAACTTTTGAGTGAGAGATGAATTTCTCCCAGACCTGTCTCATAAACTGCGGTTGATACTATCACACTGTGATGAGAAACGTGTTTGTCCAATTGTTTTCCTCTTTGATGTGGAGCTCTCTGTCCCCGGGGCAAAGACTTCCACGGAAGCAAGGCTCCCTTCTAGATGTCCTGCGATGAGGCTTTGGCAGAACCAGTGCCCAAATCCTGCATTTTAGGTTTAATTCTAAGAATCATTTTGTCAGAGTAGAGATGTTTAAAACATCTAAAGGTTATGAGGCGGCCACAATGGTGTGAGAGATATCTGAGGGAAATGTTTGCACATTTGTAGGAAGATATTTTTGTCATTTTATTCCAAGTGGTCTTTTAGAGAAGGCAGATCTAAATAAGATAAATTAAAAAAAAAAAAGGCTTAGAGTTGTTAGTTCATGTACCATGTCACCAAGGTCAAGGTGGCTTGCTCACCGTTGCATTAATGAAAATCGCTTTCATTAAAAGTTGGAACAGAGGGATGCCTGGGTGGCTCAGTTGGTTGGATGACTGCCTTTGGCTCAGGTCATGGTCCTGGGGTCCCGGGATCGAGTCCTGCATCGGGCTCCCAGCTCCATGGGGAGTTTGCTTCACTCTCTGACCTTCTCCTCGCTCATGCTCTCTCACTGTCTCTCTCTCAAATAAATAAATAAAATCTTAAAAAAAAAAGTTGGAACAGAAGACAAATAACAGGGAGTTGGACTCTTTGGTAATGATCTCATGCTCCCTGTTCTGGTGGAGCCCACCATGCTCATTTCGAAGGTGGAAAACCTGAGGATCAGAGAAAAAACATCAAAACATCATTTGCTCAAGTACAGTCCTTCCTAGACCAATGTGCCTCTCACC